CCCACAAAAATTTGAAAAGAAATTAAAAGATTAAACAACGTACAAGCATGACGAGAGTTTGAAAGGCCCTACACAAGCCTACATGAAGCATGAACCTAGTCCTGGAGTTGTGAGTGGGCCCAACAAATAGTAACATTATACATACAGGAACTAACCATGCTAACACGGTAACCGACTGGTAGGCGATAGGCCTGCACCTTGTAGTTGTAGCACCTTGGCCTATATCATGTCTGTCATCATGGTAGGCCCTAATGTTTCAAACATTGCTTGTCAAGCCGGGCTTCAGTCCAAAATATTCAAAAGTTTTCCTTTTTAAAGTACTACAGGGTAAGACGCGAGAATCAAGATTTACCATATGACACATACAAATCCTCGACAAAGTCTAGTTCCAGACTGAATAAACTTTCAACTTGCTTTTCACGGCTGGCTAGATTTCACTGCGCTGGCATGGCGGGGCGCTTTTTCCAGACGACAGAGTCGTAGAAAATGACAACGTGCTACGCGCTAAAAGAGACGTCTGGTCACCAGCGCGAAAGTTCAGCTTAGCCACGGGAAGTTAAGGGGTTTGCTTCGTAAACAGATTGAGAGCCCGACTAAATGAGGAAATGAAAAAGAGCACAACCCTTATTATCCACCGCAACACGTTAACATTGCTACGAAGACCCAGAGAGGACATCGGCCGCAGAAGATTTTTTTCTTGCGTACACGTACATTGCGCAGATATTTCAAAAACACCTAAATACGTGTGTATTTACACGCGAGCACATTGATGTGAAATGCACATTGCTTTCAGTCTGAGGGATAAAAAAATCAACACGAAGATGTGATTTAACTACCCAATTTTCCGAGCCGCATACGTATCCCGTGAGCGTGACATTTCTAATGGTCCTTATTACATGCGTACGTACGTAACCTCCTTCTCGTCCCGTCTTGTGGTATTTTTTGGGGGCGAGGCCATTTTCTTATCAAAATATTACCGTCTCTTATAAGTTATATGCCTAAATAGTAAAGTATGCAAGTGGCGGCCTATTGGGAGTTACGATCGGCGGGCCGGTATGCGTGTGCAGCGCCCAAAGCCTTGGCAAATTGTAATCCATGCACGCGATCCAGCAACAGGGATTTTTTTTTGGGGGGGGTCCGCAAGTTATCGCCTGAGTACACTTTTTACAAAATGTCATGATGTGATTTTTTTGCGCTATATATTTTGTAAGGGGGTGTATGGGGTGTCGGGGGGGTACAACGTAGTGAGTTGGCGGGCTCATCACCATGCCTTGTATTCAGGGCAATCCGGCTGCCGCTGGTCCACCTGTGGCACTCAACTCTCGCCTGTGGCTCCAAGAAACTGTTGCATGCAGCATAGCCACCCCCCGGGCAACGGCATTGGTGAGCCGGCCGAATCAAGTTGAGGGTAGCCGCCAGGCTTTTCCTGTCAGTGACGTAGGGACTGCCTCCCTACATGCATGCGAAGACTGTGGTCGGCAGACTCTGCGGAGGAAACCCTAGTGGTTCAACGGAGAGGAAGTCGGGTACAGCAGGGCACTGTGGAGTGCTCGGGGCAAGATTAGGCACGTAGACCATCTTGGCAATCCACTGCATCCGGGGTCATCTCCAGCCGTCTAAACACTTGTCTTGCTACTGGATACAGGACGAGAGAGTGAGGTTGACGTAGCGCGACTCTTCTTTACCCCACTCAATCTGGCATCATGAAACATCCGAACCCTTCTAGACAGATCAAATGCAGACAGGCCCGAGAGGCGCAAAGCACTCATTGCGTTGGAACTTGACAGATGTAAGATTGACATCGCTGCCCTTAGCGAGACTAGGTTGGCTGGAGAGGGTGAGCTCTGCGAAAGAGGAGCAGGCTACACCTTCTTCTGGAGTGGACGCGGACCTGAGGAAAGATGCGAAGCAGGAGTTGGGTTTGCTGTTAAGACAGCGCTCGTTGGCAAGTTGGACGGCATACCGAAAGGAGTGAATGATCGCCTTATGACGATGAGACTTCCACTCTCCCATGGTAAAATGTTTGCCATCATTGTCAGCGCCTATGCTCCCACCATGACCAACCCAGAGGGGACGAAGAGTAGGTTCTATGAAGATCTGAACACTACAATCAATGCAGTCCCAAACGCCGACAAACTCATCATCCTTAGTGACTTTAACGCGAGAGTGGGATGTGACTTCTCCACCTGGGAAGGCGTGATCGGGAAGCATGGGGTCGGCAAATGCAACAGCAATGGTCCACTGCTCCTCCAGACCTGCGCGGAGCATGCCCTTCTCATTACGAACACAGTCTTCTGCCTCCCTACCCGCAACAAGACGTCGTGGATGCACCCTCGCTCGAAGCACTGACATCTGATTGACTACGTCATCGTCATGAAGAGGGATAGGCAGGACGTACGTGTGACGAAGGCCATGTGCGGCGCCGAGTGCTGGACAGACCACCGCCTCATCGTGTCCAAGCTCAACATCCGCGTCCAACCCAAAATAAGACCACAGGGCGCGAAAGCACCAAAGCGCCTCAACATCAACAGATTGAAGATACCAGGCGTACATCGAACAGTCCTTTGCTGAGACCCTGGAAGAGCACCCTGACTCCCTCTGGCTGGAAAACCAAGATGTGGAAGCAGCCTGGAGCACATTTCGTGAGACAGTGTACAGCACAGCAATGGAGTGCCTAGGGCCCTCTTCCTGGAAACACAAAGACTGGTTTGATCATGCAGCTACTGCAAGAGCAATGTCTGGCCTACAAGGCTCATATCGACGACCCAGGGTCCACTGCGAAGAAAGACACACTGAGGAGCATACGCAGCAACACTCAACGGAAGCTGCACGAGATGCAGGACGCCTGGCTAAGTGCCAAAGCAGACGAGATCCAGCGCTACGGAGACAATCACAACATGAAGAACTTTTACAGCGGACTGAAAGAAGTCTGTGGTCCCTCTTCATTGGGTACATCCCCACTGCTCAGCACTGACAGCACAACCCTGATCACAGAGAAGGAGAAAATCCTGGACAGATGGGCCGAGAACTTTGACAGCGTCCTAAACCACCGCCCTTCCTCTATAAACGATGACGCAATAGACCGGCTCCCCCAAGTTACTATCAACGAGACCATGGACGAGCCCCCCCCCCCACCTTGGAAAAAAAAGCAGAAAGCAATACGTCAGCTATCCAGTGGCAAAGCACCTGGCGCAGACTCCAACCCTGCAGAAATCTACAAGGAGGGGTGGCACGGCCATGGAGGAAAAGCTTCATCAACTGTTCCAGCTCATCTGGGAACATGAGACAGTCCCCCAGGACTTCAAAGACGCGTCCATCATCCACCTATACAAACGAAAGGGAAACAGACAGTCCTGTGACAATCACCCCGGCATCTCCCTCCTCTCCATTGCCGGCAAGGTACTGGCGAGAGTCCTTCCCATCACCTGATCGCCCACCTAAAGCAAGGTCTCCTGCCCGAGAGTCAGTGCGGCCTCAGGAAAGAACGGGGAACGATCGACATGGTGTTTGCGGCAAGACAGCTCCAAGAGAAGTGCCAGGAACAGAACACTGACCTGGTCTCCACATACGTCGATCTGACCAAAGTGTTCGACACCGTCAGCAGAGAGGGCCTCTGGAGAATCATGGGAAAGTACGGATGCCCCAGAAAGTTCACAGCCATCGTGCGTCAGTTTCATGACGGGATGCTGGCCAGAGTCACTGACAATGGTGAATCATTAGATCCCTTTTGCAGTGTCCAATGGAGTGAAGCAGGGCTGTGTCCTCGCCCCGGCTCTGTTCAGCCACATGTTCTCGGCAATGCTAACTGACGCCTTCACCGACACGGACACAGGCATCGGCTTCAGATGGCGTTTTGATGGCACCATCTTCAACATCAGGAGGCTCCAAGCCTAACGTTCACCGTGAATGGCCAGCGATTGAACGTGGTGGAGAAATTCACCCATCTTGGAAGTTCGCTATCACGGAATGTCGTCAGCGATGACGAGGTGAATGCCAAACTGGCCAAGGCCAGTGCTGCTTTTGGCAGGCTCTACAGCAACGTTTGGAACAGGAGCGGTATCACTACAAAAAAACATCAAAGTCTACAGAGCAGTAGTCCTCACCACCTTACTGTATGCGTGCGAGACATGGACTGTATACCAGCGTCAAGCAAAGAAGCTGAATCATTTCCACACTACCAGCCTTAGAAAACTGTTTGGCATCAGATGGCAGGACAAGATATTAGACACGGAGTTCCTCAGCCGAGCCGGTCTGCCCAGCATCTTCACCATGCTCATGCAGTCACAGCTGCGCTGGGCAGGCCACGTCGTCCGCATGGAAGATCACCGTCGGCCACAGCAACTGCTGTTTGGTGAACTCAAGCAGGGCAAGCGCTCTCGCGGAGCCCCCAAGAAACGCTTCAAAGATTGCCTCTCAAGGCATTCAACATCAGCCATACCAACTGAGAACAGGAGGCACTGGACAGGTGCGGGTGGCGTGCCGCAGTTCGCAAAGGAGCTGAGCACCAGGAAGCCAGTCGTACTACCGCAGCAGAGAAACGTCGACAGGCCAGAAAAGAAAGTGCCAGCCAACCTCTAGCAGCAGGCGCCGCCACCATCCCCTGCCCATACTGCCAGAAAACGTTCAGAGCGCGGATTGGTCTGACCAGCCATCTCCGTACACACAGGGCCGGTCAACCCCACCCCTAACAGTAGGATGACCAGATGGTCGTTGTCGATTACGACAGACGAACAACATATTTTGTAAGTCGGCTGCTTTTATAAGATGTATAATCGGCGGCGGCGGCGGTGATCTCTCAGGGGCACCATTTATCAGGTTTTCCACGTGGCTCCGTTATGCACCGCAAAGCTACAGAAGGACTATTCTGTGCTGTGTAACACAGCACAAAAGGAGAAGAGACGGCTCAGTAAAAAACATCAAACATTCTACCATGATGTATGTTGTTTCAATTCAAAATTGATATAGCCGAGTGCACTGAGCGTGGAACTTTGTCAGATCTGCAAGTTTGCCCCGACGTGATGTATACTGAGAAGAAATCTTAATTTATAACGGATGAATTCTCTCGTTTAGTTTCATAGCGTTCTACGAGCATGCGTTCATGAGCACGCAACCTGAGTCCCTGTACCGTATCGTTCGTTTTCAGTTAAAAAAAAGATACGCACGTTAATTAAAAAAAGGAAAACCAAAACTTTAAAAAGGGTTATTTCCTGTTTTGGCATTTTTTAAAAAAAGGACCTTGAAGAAGAGTTCTTGTTTTGCACGTCCAAATACGAAAAACGAAAGTAATTTCTTTTAAATTCAATTTAACCCGGATGTCCTTTTACAGGATACACAGTTTCAGGTTTGTTCCCTACTGTAAAGGGCAGGTAGCCACCGTCTTGTTAGAAAAAATATAATAATTATGACATGTCTAGGATGTAAAATTCACTCAACGAAGTTCGGTCGTTAGTACGATGATTTGCTGCGATAAAAAAGACAAAAAATAATGGTTTATACATCAATTACTTTTCCATTTATATCTGAATAAATGATCGCACTTTCACTTTAGCTGTGGCATTAAATTTTCTTTTTCCAGATTTTCCAACAACCAAACTGCAGTCCATAGTAGGGACAGTGAAGCTTTCTGTGGGTTTGCATGCTGTGCTACTCTTTTAGTAGTGTTGTATAAAAAGGAACAATGTTGACAACAGATACTAACTTTTGAGAAAGGAACTTTTATTCTAAACTATTTTACAGCTTGTACAAGAGAGAGTGGGAGTACTGCGCATAGAGATGTTGCTTTGAGAGTGGTTGTGATGAGACTGGCTAAAAATGATCAAGTGGTGAAAATAGGGTTGGGAGCACAGGCCGGAAGAACAAGGGTAAATCTAACTAAAATCTAATTATAAAGTAGTAAATCCTAGACCAGAAGTCTGCCAGAGGAATGTGGTAAGAAGGCCAAAGCAATAAAAGTGGGACCTTGTGTAGGAGTGCTCTTAAATTAATTAGGAGGCTTGACATTACAGGGTCAAAAGTTAAAGGCTCCTAATCTACTGCTGGGAAAAATGTACATGGAGTCTACTGTAGATGCAAGTGTTCTTATTTTTACAAGGGGGAAAACGCTACACTCTATCCTGACCATGACAGAGACCCGCGGGTTATTCCGTGCACCCAGCTATGCATGTGTAACACGTGCGAGTGACATGCTCCTATCACTATTTCTGCTGTAACCCGCCATTGTTGTTTAAATCAACGCTCGTGTCGTCTCTTCTCATCTGCTCTTCAATCTTGTGAACATGGTTCACCGGAATTTCATGTAAATATTGTTTTGAATTTAGTCGCCAAAGCCCCATGCAGTGCTTTATGAATCCCAAGTCTGTAAACCAGTTCGTTATAATATTATTTTCCTCCCTCTTTCCAAAAGATAAAAATAAAAAACCACAGCTGAGCATATAAAGTCACTAATTTTCGTTGTGATTTAATATCCAATTTGCTGTTCAAGTGTAATACCATTCCAGATTAGTACATGGCCATGGTATAACAAAACAATTACCTGCTGTGAAGGGGTCCACGATTTTCTACACCCTCGGGAGCAAATGGCACCCTCTGAGCTTCGCAGTCGAGTGCCATTTTGCCCCCTCCTGTGTACAAAACACCATGGACCCCTACACACCCAGCAACAAATGTTAACGCTATTAATGTTATGGAATCTGTGGAATCAATTTCTTTTCAAGGAAACTTAAACAAGTTCATATACAAAATTTGCATTAATGCCTGTATCGCAGCAATATTCACAATATTATCCTGAAGAGAATTGCAGGTAAAAGTAACAGATTTTTATAAAACCGGTTTTAAATTTAACCGTAGACTAAAGCCCATACTGTTTTTAACACTTTTTTGCTAAACATTTGTCTAAATATCTAGAGTTTGAAACATTTAGTAAGTAATCATTATCTCTTACTGATCTTAGGAACTTACGTGTAAATTTTTAATAAACTGTTCAGTGTTCGTAACATTTATTGATGTACTCTTAATAACGTCCCGATTATCAGATGTTACAATTGTTGGTTATTAAGGGCTAATTAGACCAATGTTTTACGCAGCCGATGAAAATTATCATGATTACGAGGTTACATTAGAAATGTCAAATTTTAATGAAAGCAACTGAATGCATTATTTTATGTCAAATTGACATTTGTAGTCACTGAACCTATTGATGCAGTCAGCATTCTTCTCGACTTTTATCCTGAAGCAGAGGCGTGCGGGGGGGGGCAGAATAAATCTTGCCCACCCCCCGACAAATTTCTTTTCAATATTTATTATTCTTATTTTTTTCAACTGAGAATACTCCACAGGTGAGTACGGGTGAGTATACTTATTGATCAAATAAATAGGCTTTATTTTTTCTCCCCCCTTATCATGTTGAACGAGCCTGAAAGTGCATTTCCTTTTGAATTTGCCCCCCCCCCTCCATACCAAACACTGGATACGCCACTGTCTTGAAGACAACAGGGTATTTTCAAATTGTTTTTGCAAGACCTTTAATTGGTAGGCCAAATAGATGTGTGGTGAGTTTGGGAAATTTGGCAAGTTTTATTATACACATATTTATTAAGCTCTAATTGGGTAAAGCATGTTGTCGGGATGTAATATGAGACGAGTCATGATGACGTCTCAGGTGATTTATTATTTAATTTTGTATATTTATTTTTGTAAATTTAAACCCGTTACTTTGTACAGTTTTCTGGAAGCGACTTCCCTCACTTTGCAATCTGTCAACTTTCTCATTATATACACCAATGAACGCCAATGAATGACATTAGTGCGTACATCGTTCAAGAATAGTCAGGTTGTGGTGGCACCTTCAGAGGTCCTGTATGTGACACACCTGCAAAGTTGCATTACCTGAAGTTATAAGTATGACCTGGGTGAAACTTCGCATTGACTTGAAGAGAGATACATTATTAAAATTTGTCTTGATTTCTATTCGACAGGCGACACAGGAAATAGCTGTATGACGTGATGTTCAACGTGACTGACGTATTACTGCACTTGTACCTGCATCGCCCCACTGATGATGGCTTTTGAAAAAGATCTTTATGAGGAAAAGTTTTGACGAGAAGTCTAGCACCCGAATAGTCTACTTATAACAAGACTCGTATGGTTTTTGCAATACAACATTACCTATAAAAAGTACAAGTATTACGTTAAATGAATTTTTAACTATAAAAGCCTTTAGAACCGATTTATCTTAGCAGGCGGGGGGGGGTACACAAGTAAAGATAAAAAAACACAAAAATCACGGGTCCAATTGCTTACCAAACACTGCATGGCACGAATACAGGGAGGACAGAGGCAGATTCCAAGACGTTCAACCAGTCTTGGTCCATTGAGTGCAGAGCAAAGCAAAGAAAAGCGCTACGCTAACCCGCTCCCCGAGTTACACTGTATTTGCTTCAATGTCTTCTTGAGACAATCACGATAAAAAGTACGCCAAAGATTGTTCACTCCCACTAGTTCATTCATTGTCATATTCCAGTTGCCTATTTTGGCTTTTCGTCCATGCGCACAATAGACCTTTCGCTGATAAATTCATAATTATGCACGTATGCGCACAGATGGCGGCAATTAAGGACCATTAAAAATGTACAGGGGTGCGATTTTGTCTCATGTTTTCTGGCTTTTTTCATTATTTTTAAGACTTGACAATCATATTTTTCCTGTGTGCACGAGATTAAGCGGGGAAAATCCCGCTTAGATTAGAATCTATATAATAGCAAAAACGATTTAATGGAATTTTCTGAAGAAAAAAATGAGCGAAGCTAGAAAACCTGAGAGAAAATTATCAAAATAGCACCTGTACATTTTTAATGTCCCTTGCCGCCAAGGCAATTTATGCGCATGCGTGCATAATTATGAATTTATTATTTATTAGTATATGCTGCACGAATTAAGTACTCTTACATGCTGCCAACTTCAGTGGAAACTGAATATGTATGAGCCATATAGTAAAGAAATTAATACTAACATACAATTAAACATTACGGTTTAATGGTATATTGCTGCTGTATAGTGCAAAAGCATGCATGCTAATGTAAAAACGTATTTTCCTCAGTCACTGTATAAATTGAACATAGTTTGAAGGTTCGTGGAAGATGACGAACTAGTCCCCTCGCATTCACGTCGAATTATAGTTTGTCAACTTTCAATACCTTGTACAAGAAAAAGAAGCAAGAGGGTCATTTCTACATCCTAGTAGTACTAAGCTGATGCTATTTTAAACTTGGGGGGATCAACGTGGCAAAAAGGCTTCCAAGTCTTGTAATTCATTTCTGTCATAAAGGGCCCAAGTCGTACTTATATGTTCATATCCTTCACACTGAGGGATTTCTCCGACCGCAGCACTTTCTTCGTCGCATAGCTTTCAGGAAATCTGAGGGTTCTGGGATGTCCTCCCACTGACGACGAACGATGCATCCGAAGACGGTCTTGAAGTCGCGATGCTTGGCCGCATAGATCAGAGGATTGACGCAACTGTTGAACAATAACATTACAAACGCGTACTGTTTGGCCACTATGCTATGCCCGTCGACGTCAAGGAATAGGCATACGCCGTACGGACCTATGCAGAGCACGGAGGCGCAGACGACGTAAAACATGTTCTTTGTTATCTCGGATTGATGGCGACTCAGCTGGGAGTGTCCAGCCATGATAGTGTTAGCACCGATTGGAGATGGGGACAGAGTGCGCTTGGTATTACTCAGTGCGGTCATTGTGGAGCTACCGGCCGGGGTACCGTTTGGTACCTTGCGAGACCTGGCCATTATCCACGTATGGCGCTTGATGTGTCGCCAGAGGAGCACATAGCAGACGCCTATTGCAATCAGATGAACGGGAATGATCACAATCGCAACCCCTTGTTCTCCAGTAGTAGAGCCTTTCTGCACAGGCAGCACGGCAATACAAAGAGAACCCAAGCACATGAACCAGGTGAGTACCAGCCAGACTGCAATCTTTTTCGGAGTGTAGATCTTCCGATAGGTGGTTAGTGGACGCGTGATCAGCAGCAAGCGATTCAGGGCGATGCTGAAAAGCGAGAAGAGGCTACAACCGAGGCTTGTGGATATCACGAAAACGCTTCCCAAGCAAAGTGCTCCATCGAGTGCATACAAGAGCTTGTCCCACATGCAGAATTCGAGATCGACACAAACGACGAAAGCCGGTATCGTTAGACAAGTCAGCAAGTCAGCGATGCTCAGGTTTACCACAAAAACGTTGGTGGTAGTGCGAAGCTTTTTCGACAATATCACAGCCAGGATAACCAGTGAGTTGCTGGGGATCCCGATCACGAAGGGGATCCCGCACAAGATATTAAGCACCACTACGTGGACGTCGGCAACCGCACAGGAGGAAAAGTTTGCCGTGGTATTAGCGTCGATATCATCCATGATTAGAGACTGAACAAATAGGAAACAAAAAGTATTACACATTGATAAACAAATGTTATCTCCTAAGCATCATTCAATATGCCTCGTGATAACCACGAGTTGTTTTGTGATTTCACGTGCGTGAGTTTCACGTAATCGCAGCAGCGTATCGTCATGATGGGAATGATACTATTTGCATGCTAGAATATGTTCGGGAATTTTCAGGCATTCCGTCGGGGTAACAGTGCAGAGAACAGATAAATGTTAATAATTTGGGAACTTATCCTGCAGTCTGGGATAAAATTGGCTTCCGTTGAACCAAAGCAACAACTTGGCATAAGAACATAAACTATCAACAAGAAAACTTCGAGAAGTCAGTACCAGAGTGATTTTCAAACAGAGCAGGTTAAAACGAAAATCCTACGGAGTGCCATCAAGTCTATAAAAAGAGGAGTATGTTTTCCAAATTCTACATTTAAGACGTATTTCTTTCAAAGTTCATTTTTATGAAGTACTTTTTCTTTCTTTTTAAGAAAGAAAATTTTGTTTTCTTTCTCTTTTAAGTTTTTTTAAAAGATATTTTTTTCCCAAAGATCTTTTATTTAAGATATAATACGCAGTTCCTTTTCCGAGGTTTATTTTTAAAAGAGTATTTATATTTTTCGATACAAAGCGTTTTTGTGAGATATATATTCAATCAAGTCGGTTTATGGAAGACATATTTTATCCAAGCTAATTTTAAAGAGACATAATTTTCAAGTTTGATTCTATATCTCATAAAACCGAACTTTAAAAAATAAAACTCATTATTTACTTTGAAAAATACACCTCGTAAAATGGTGTATTTCCAAAAAACAGACGCAGTGTGTCTAAGTTATAGCACACTGGGTAATATCCGTTTCGAACAAAAGAACTTTTTAATAAACCTCATAAAGTTAAAGTTCGAAAACATATCTCTCATAAAAATGGACTTCAAAAAATGTACTTCACTTCATAAAAATATCTACTGGCTGGCATTACACCTTGCGTGAAACTGTAAAATAGCGCAGTAATAGTACATGTACCATTCTTCTTCAACACTTTGAGATACATACCACATTGTGGAAACGGGCGTCTATATATATGTGTCTAGTCGGGCGCTCGGAGGGCTGAATATTGTTTTATTGGATATTCAGTAGCCCTTATACATTGTCCACAACAAAGTTGACGTTCCTTCAACCAGTTTTGGCTTTTTCACAAAGGTTGGCTATATTTACACGCTTTTGGAAAGAAGGGAGACAAAACTTTTCAGAACAAGCGCCAATGAACTGCTCTTTTTGTGTGAGGATGGCGTCCCCCCCACACACACACCAAGAGGGCCCTTGAAATGACCAGCCGCCTAGCTACTTAGCCTTCAGTGTAAAGCCGCTCAGCTATACCCGGTTATATCCTCCAGTAATGAAAAAAAAATTGTAGAACTGGCGGCGGGCTGTCAACATAATTATATGGTTTTAGTTTTAACCATGATTGGAATCATAGCCAAGTTAACACACCTTGATTACTGATCCGTTGCTTCTACTAATGCTGGCTGGTTTGAAGATCTGGCTTTTTTGCTGTTCACTTCAGGCTTATGGCTTGCTTACAAGTGGTGGCTCGGTGACAAATTACGATTGTCTATTCTTTTTATACCCGGGGCTTCAAAGACTTCGAACACGGAGGCTCTAAACGACCAATCAGAGCTAATAATAGGCCTGCCCCACTTGTATACCACTGGATGATAATTTAGATGTAGCAATGAAACTGTTGCGGCCCGGTGGAAGGAAAACTGTGCGCTTTCAATGAGTCATCTTTATTTTATCGGTATTTTTGTTTCGGTTGTTTTTGCACTTACTGAATGTTATGTCAGGAAAAAAAGACAACCATCATAAACGAAGAACTGAGCCTCTGCGTCTGCGTTCGTTCGGATCTATTTGAGCTTAACAAACCAAGTGTAATAATAGACTTTGCTAGGCATTTTCATTATATCTCATTCAAATTGCGGTGGGTTACTTTCTAATTCAGGGCCCTGGAATTCGAATTAGTGGCGTTTCCAGCAGGAAGTAGTGATTTTAATGACCTTTAAACACGACTGTCGATTTTAAAAGCAAAGGGAAACTGTCCGGCACATACAATGTGATATATGATTTATGTATGATATACCTGCAATAGGGATTACAAGGAATGCATAAGTCATGCAAATCTATTCTGTCAGTGCAGTCCAAAAGCTTTCCACACTTTTTACAATGAAAGCCTAAAATAAAATACAAAATTTTGAGTCCTATTTTCAGGGAAAATTAAAATATGATATTTCTCCTCCACAGCACTGCAGATACAGCATAACCAAATAAAGCACAGCCTGTGTGTACTCAGACCACATATATTCGAAAATTACTATAATGTGTTCGTATGGTTGCGACAAATTCAATGTCTTCGTGAACTTTGATATGAAACAGTCTACAGTTGAAGCAAATGCTCTCCAGTGCTGCGTTGTCTTGACGCATAAGACATTGTCCTGCAGACAAGTGTTGTAACGAGTCACTAAATTTGGTGGCTCGAGTGGAGGCTAGTCAATTTAACATTGTGACTCGAGTCGAGTCATTAGGTCAAGAAGCCGAGTCGAGTTCTTTTTGTGTAGTCGAGTCGAGTAGAGTCAGGTACCGAGCTCGAGTCAATTTGAGTCACAAATTTCTGAACAAAATACGATAAAAATACAGCTACATGTAAGTCGCTTTGGAGGAATTTTTATTTTCATTTAGATATACTGAAAATAAATCAGGGTGACGAGTATCTAGCTGACTACAATTTTGCATTAAATTCTTTTGAGACTCGAGTCTGATAAGCTTGTACTCGAGTCGAGTCTCCATGAGAGATTCGAGTCCAGTCATTTGGTCACAGAGACTCGAGTTGAGTCATCTACCCGTCCGGACTCCAGTCGAGTCGCCAAAAATTTTGACTCGAGTCGTGTCATTGGCTCCAGTTATTACAACTCTGCTGCAGACGCTAGCGCTCTTGCACCAACGATCCAGGGACGGTTTCATCAAATGAACTACTGGAACAACAGCCAAGTGGGTGTTAGTCCATACAACTTATATCAAGCTAACAGCCAATTTATGAACTTTCAGTACCGCTCCTAATTTCTAGTTACATGTATAAGTGAATGAAACCAAAAGGCAAACAAGCATACGAACTCGAGGTTCATTTGAGCAGTGCTCTGCCTTGCACTTATTTATTGTTTTCTCAAATTATACTTTACAAAATACTGAGAGATTCACCACTTGGCGGAACGAAATAACAACTTAACTTGAAGCCCGAGCAGCAGCATATGATAATCATAATCACTGTGATCACTTTAACACAAAACCTCCCGTATCAGGTCCGATTTCAACATAAAAGGTGAAGGAAGATATAGCAGAATTCAGCAGATTTCAACCATGATTCCCTACAACCTGTGACTCTGGGTGAAAGTCCCCAACAGTTTCTTTTGAACAAGCATGAGTTCGTCAGACGACACTGTCCAGGCGGGGAGATTCCCCCGAAGTGACGTGACAACTAAGCACGCAATCCAGTCAGGCCACAGTGAGCTACATTTACATGTCCAACATAGCTCATCATTGTGTTCGACATGTATCGCTACATTAATGCAGCAAGTTTTATAACATGTCTACAGACATCTTGTATTTCGTATCCTTCAGGGAGATTCATAACAAACCTTTGTAAAATCTGTAAGGGCATCGGCTTATTACTCATCTACATGTGGCTATACCTAAGATTTGGTGATTCACACGACTCACAATTTGCAGTTTATGGTTTGTCCAAAGTTCATGGCTACGGCTGAATATCAAAGCCAAGAGATGCATGCATTCCCTATACGCACACCTGTTATGTTCAGCCGCAGCCAAGCAATTTGGACATGCTTTACAACACAGAAGGCCATTACAGTCAACATTGTAGCCGAGACCACTTAAGACTTTCACAAGACTAACTCAAGACCTCCAGTCTGAATTCAAGTCATAAGCTATTCACATCAAATGCAACAAAAGCATTCCTCTGCCGTTGTTCACCCTGTTACTAGTGACTGGTCTTGTGCATGGTCTTGTGATGGTTTCTACTGCAACAATGAGTATAGTAGTAGTGCTCTCAAGAATCACACAGTAATCGGTGACACCATGGGTGTAAATATTTCCATGAAACAAGTTAACATACACAGCATGGCCCCTATTGTATCAGGTTCAATGCTCCACTTGACAATTCTAAAAAACATAAAATATTGCACATATTTTAGATGCTGGAAAAGTGAACTCCAAACGGCAATATTGACAGATCTAAAAAAGCAACAAGGATGGACTATTTTCCTTCAAAAACTAAAAAAGTGAACAAATATTTTTACTGTATTTGTACACCATTATCTGACAAAATAAGTAGTACTTGTACACAATAATAATTTTTTTTAAACACTACATTGTATTTGTTTCTCGATTTCAAACTACAAAGAATTTGAGTTGAGATTGAATAAAGCATCTCTGTAGAGTAGTGCTCCATTCTTTGAATGAACATTGGAAATCTTCTGTCTGCACAAAGATGACATACCGCACTGTCCAAGCCAAAAGAGTTCAGGGAGGTTGTTTGTTAAACCCACACAAGCTACAAAGCACTAACATCTTGATCTCTCGATGCAGTCAAGAAAAACGTGCACGCTTGATGCTTTGATCACATGCCCACACGACAGAAGCCAAAAGAGGCCACCGCATGTGTGGAACCAACAGACTATTCCTTTGCTATGTCACAAGTGTAGTTTTCGCCACCCAGAATGGCTGGCTTTGAGTAAAATTCCAAGAGAATAAATTCACTAAGTGTTAAAAATATCATGCAGAAAATACAAAATAATACATACATGTATTACATACTAGACATAAATGCCTCCTATTCTAACACTGATAAAACAATATGTTGAGGCAAAATGAGCCAACCAAGCTGGCCACCTGCACAAACGACAGTCCATATTTATAAACTAAGGAAAGGCCTACAAGGAGGATAGAAGGCTCAGAATAATAGTTTGCCACCATAGCATGGCCGTGCTGTGGACAGTGAAAAGCATTTGGGTACCACACCAATATGGTGGCCAGGGTCTGATAATGAAACACTAGACCCAGTCTTATTTTTCATTGAGGGTATAATATGCTTGTGACAGCAATGCAGTTTTACAACATATATTCAGTCATTACACGGTCAAGAAGGTTGCCTCCAAGTTGGCAAATACAGTGGAACGCTGCTATAACGAACACGACAGGGTCCACGCTAAATGTTCAGTACAGCGGTCGTTTGGTATAGCGAAATTAACTGCCAAACGTTTTGTTGCCATGTTGAATAGTGCCCTCTCTTGTCTAACTGAAGTGCACCCTCTTGTGATGCTATGGTTCGCTGTTTTTGTGATGTTTTGCCATTGCATTCACGTTTGAGGTTTCTAGAAATGTATCTGTAAATTATTTTTGTTTTTTATTAAATCTTGAGTTACAAAGTTTATATTTAGTTTATCCTTAAAGTCGTGAAGCTACCGCTCAGGATCAATCTCTGATACATACTGTGGCGAAGCTCGGTTGATTTGCAACTGCTTAATGTTCGGTAAGTTTTGCGCACAAAATATTGGGAGCCAAGGACGATGTTTGGTACAGCTCAATGTTCGGTATTGCGGTGTTCGGTATAGCGACGTTCCACTGTAGACACCACAGCTGTGACACAAGAGAAGAAGTCTCTTGATGCTTTGTGACCTTGCGGCGGTGAGTTCCGTTTCTACATTGCCTTCAAGGCGGGGCTGAGGTCGGCGAAGTAACTGTGGGCCAGGCCCTCCTCGGCAGACAGTCGCAAGGAGGGGTTGCACACCAGGAGCCGCTGTAAGAGGTCGCGACCTTTGGCCGAAAGGCTGGGAACCACTGAGGAGAGCGGAGTACTGGGATGACAAATTGGGTAGGGCTGTGAAGAAAATGGTGGAAAAATGGTTCTAATTAATCAAACATGCATATTTATGAATTTCTACAAATCTCATGCTCCAAATGATGTAGAAGTATTTTTCTTCACTAACAGTGTGACCCTCATTAAGATATAGATTATGTGCAGAAAGTTAAAGGCTGTGTGTAATGAACTTTTAATATATCATGAAATTCATCTGTAGATGACAGTACCCTGTGACGCACGCGAGAACAAATTTCCAAACACAGAAGTAAACTGGCCACTCTCAACTTGTCTGCTTCCCTGTGACCATCAAGATCCACCATTATGATCTTATAAAATTACTCGCATCAACATTTCCAGTAACAACCATACAATTGGTTTGATTTTGCAATGTAGGAAATTGTGTCATGTGACCAAACTGAACAATTTAACTCTCTGCACACAATCTATGTCTTAATGAGGGTCACACTGTTAGTGAAAAAAAATACTTCTACAAAAAAAAATTAACTTTTCAAGACCATTTCTTTACCCTGTTGCGACTGGGAGTCTCATGCATTCATTTTCTTACCTCTCAAAAATAGAGATTTCATGAATTAAGAGTAGAGGAGCAATTTGATAGTAGTGCCTTGCTTAGGGACACAAGACCCATGGTTAGCTACACTTGAGCAGGGCTTGGCTTGTTGCAACGTAAGATTTTAGTCAGACTGTAAATGCATGGAATTCATTCTAGCAAGGGATGGGTTCCGCTTACCTTGAAGTCGGGCAGTTTGGAGATGCCAGGCCAGGTGTCCTCCGTGGGCGTCCCGAGGAGCTTGAAGATTCTCTTCAACTGATCATCCACGTCATTTCCCGGAAAGAGCGGCCGACCTGCATTTGCCATCTCTGACCACAAAAACAGAACATAACCAATTGCACCTTGTACATTGATATGGATTTGAACTGTCCATCTTTGGAACGGTGAGCTTGCCCATTTCCAAATCAGCTATCCTAGAAAAAGTTGGCAATCTCCCAATCAGCATGTTCCTAAATTGTGGCAGTTGTAAGGAAACCAGGTTTGCGTCCGGAAAGCAAAATACCGTAGGGATGTTTTCCTGAAATGATTTCCCAATTTTTTAAATCCTTGAAAGAATCAACCTCCAACGCCGATAGTAGTCATTCCTGAAGTGTTGGTGTTTTCAATTCCATTTTCAAGAAAACATTTAAAGAACTGTTCTGGACATAATCTTGACCTTGACATTTTGTGTTTCGCTGGAACACTGCCAAACTGTGAACATTTATCCTATGAAAACTGTGAAAAAGTTTCCACAATGCCAAATGTGATTAGAGTCAAACACAAAATGTGGCACATTAGGAATCGGCTTGATTCCACCAGCAAACTCTACACAGTGCCGTACAGCCTAAAAATGAACACCAAAGTGATTGCAAAATTGTACAAGTTTGCAAGTACCAATGGTGTACAGTACATGCATATATTTTCAACTGAATTTGTGCAAAACTATGGCACCTTTTCGTAAGCACAAAGGGTGAAGTATGAACACAGAATGAAAATTCTGCAAAAATGTCTACCACTTTATTACATGTAGGTTCTACAGTTTCACTGATGAGAATGTATTGTACATCTGCAATAAGCACAGATGTCAAACCTCACCCGCAAATATGCATCCCGCCGACCACATATCGATGGAGGTCGTGTATATCCTGGCACCGAAGAGCACATCAGGAGGCCTGTACCACAAGGTTACGACCTCAGCGGAGAAGCACCTCACTGGAATTCCAAATGCCCTAGCCAGGCCAAAGTCAGCCAATTTCAGTTCGCCATTCTGAAAATCAAACACACACCAACCACTTGGGTCTGTAACTGTCAACTCTCCTGATTTCAACAAAAACTTTTCAAGGTAAGTCACATATCAAAAACGTAACACTTCATAAACACTAATGAGATGTGACTTTTTAGCCTGGGGAGATGTTAATATAATAAAGTTGCTTTGGGCATTTCAACCTTCACTATATTTTAACTTTTATTAAAGTGGCATACATACATGTATTCACAGTGGCACAAAAGGAATTCAATACTGACTGGCAAGTGCACGTTTGTCATGTATTACTCACCCAACAAGCTTCCCTGCATGCATGTAAGTAGCTGATTTGTGTTTAGCTGAGATACGGGCCCCGAGTGGGACCAACAGAGGGCACGATTTGCCTAGCAATGGAGGCTCCTTTGGTAGGAACTCCACTTCGCTGGTTCACGAACGATTACGAGATGCATGCGTTGCGTACGCGTCGCGACCAATGAAATGAACACTTCCTACCAGCGTGGCTCTTTTCAACTGATGAGGGGGAGCTCCTGCTCAACATGGATAATGTGGTATCTACTGCATCGAGTGGAAGTCTACTTTTAACACTTGGCAAGAAAGATTGAATTTTCTGTACCTTATTGATGAGGAGATTTTGTGGCTTGAGGTCTCGGTGAAGAATGTTCTGGCTGTGACAGAATGCCAAGCCTCTCAACAATTGGTACATAAAGGACTGCAATGAAAATAAGTAAGGAAAAAAGG